CGCGTCACCTCGGGTAACCTCCCGCCGCCGCCGCCGCTGCCGCCGTCGGGGGGAGACGGCCGGCTCCGCGGCGGGGGGAGGTGGCTGCCTCGGTGACGTATTAACGGCGCGACGCGAGGCGCCGTGACGCTGATGCGTGCGCCGCTGCTGGTGAGGAGGTTGGGGAGCGGTGGGCGTCCGTGAGGGCTGAGGCGGAGGGGAGGGGGCTGAGGTGTCGCCACCGCCGTGCACGGTGGGGCCCGGGAGGAGGCCGGTGCGACGGCGGGAGGTGGAACGGGGCCGCCTTCGAGCCTGTCGCCGCTGGGCTGGCCAGCGGCCCGCTGCCGGTCCAGGCCTGTTGCGGGCACCGCCGGGCCTTTGGGACCTCGACCCCGGCGGCTGGGGACCGGGAAGGGTTCCCGCCGCGACCTTCCCGCCTTGCGGTACCGGGAGACGGGGGGTGCAGGCGGGGTGGCCTCCCGGGATGAAGCTTCCCCCCCCACCCCCACCGTGGGGGTTCCTGCTGCTCGGGTGGGTTTGGGGTGCTCGCTTCATGCCCTTCCAGAGGTGAGGGGCAGTGAGCCTGCATTTTTTCTCTGAAGAAACAAGAAGTTTTGGCCCCTGTGCGAAAACTTTGCTGTGGCTCTGCTGCCGGTGGTCCCCCGGGGGTCCGTGCTAGCTTGGAGCACGTCTCATCATTGTTGGTCGGCAGCTGCCTGTGCAAGGCTTGGCACTCACACCTTCGGGTGCTTGGCTTAATGCTGGAAAGGTGGGTGATGCCGCGGCGAGCAGCGCTTGCTCGTGTGGTGTAGTTACCAAAGGGTACTCTGGAACTTTTAGCTGGTGTTTGGGAAATGCCTTGCTAGAGCTGCGAGGGTGGCAGCTGGTGATGTGGGTGCTGCAGGGTGTCCATTTTTTGTTTCTAGCTTCTCTGCTGCTTTTTCTCATTTCCAGCGCTTGCAGCTCCCAGGAACAGAGTGGCTCTAGTTGAGGCATCTTGCTAGTGGCTTTTCTGTGTCTGTTTTAGTATTAAAATGTTTTTTAAAGTTGTTTCTGAGGCGGCTGAGGTTGATTATGCTGCTGCAGAAGTGGACAGGTAACCAAGGGAAAAATTCTGCCTGGACTAGATAATAAATTCAAAAATCAAAAGGTGTTTTTGAGTCCTGAAGAACTGAAATGGCACGATTGGCCTAGGATTTGTACTTTCTTCTTGGTGAGGAAGTGCAGCTGGAAGTTATGTTCTTAGTAAGACAGTAGTGGCCCCATTTTGTTGTTAAAGTGTATTGAACACCTAGGGACTAGTAGGAAGAAGCAGGATGAGAAATTTCTTCTTTGTGAACTGTTTTGCTCCATCTCCAGGAGGATTTCTAAATGATGCTAGAAGCAGTCCAGGAAGAAGCTGGAGCAGCTCCGATCCAGTCATCGTTTGCATCACAACTAGGAAACCCTGCTCCACTTCCCTGAAGGGAAACCCCAGTCGTCAGGGCTGAAAATCTCCTGCTGTTTCGGACAGCGTGTCTTCCCAATTTGAATGTCTTCTAACTTTTCTGTGGAGTGCCTTCCTGTTCCCGGGGGTGCGCCCTGCTTTCTCATGCCCTGGGAATAGGCTGCCTCTGCTTGGTGAGGTCATTTTGTTTGAATCCCGGGCTGGCAAATTCGTAAGTAACCTCGGCCGTCATCAAGTCTGCACCAGAGAGTTTAGCAGCACATGTCGTCTTTGGTTGTAGTTTGCCCTAGAAATTCTGCATGCTTTTTATCTTGGTTGTGGGCTCACAGCCCTGAGGTCCTGTGCAGGGAATGCAGGCCTTGGGGCAGTGTTTGTGTGAGTCTGGTAGGTCTTGTTTTGAATTTTAATTTTTCCTGACTTCTGTTTATCAGCAAATGCAGCTGACTGCTTTTAAGCTAGGTGGCTGGTTGCTATGCTGTTATCTAAAACACCAGATTAATTTGTCTCATTAACGATGGCTGTGCTGACCAGAGATGGCACTAGGTGTACTCTTCTCTTCTGAGTCACTGATCTCCATAAAACTAGACTTAACTTCTTTCCCTAGAAGATCTTTAAGAGTTTTTCTTGGCTTTTCTTGTTTTTCTTACTGACATGTGAACAAGAATATAATGCCTAAAGCTCTTCTGCTGTTTAATGTGGGCAGCTCTGTAAATGTCCATTCTTGTGCACAAAGCATTTTAAGTTCAAGCTAGTGATCTTCCTGAACATTGTTCAGGCCTGATGATAGTAACAGCTTGTGTCCATGCAAACTATTGACTGCTCTATTATTTTTTTTATTTTTTTTTATGTACAAGTAACAGAAATGCAGAAAAAATGAATAAAATGGATTTGCATGGTACTGGTCTGCAGAATAAATATCCACAGTGGATGCTTACCCAAAACCAAGAGGAAGTTCTGGGTGATAAAAAGGTATGTCATCACATAGGGGAAATTTAGTTGGTTGCAGGCTGCACAATAGAACAACATTGGACCACATGCTTTTAGTTAGACCTATGCCTCTGATATTTGTGAATGCTTACTACTGTTTAGTTGTGTGAACTGTAATTAAATTTAGGTACTCTTGTGTTATTACTGGTTGAATTAGCTTGTTGAAGTCTTTTTTTTTTTTTTTAATTAAAAGATCATGTATTGACTAAAGGCTGTTGCTATTATCTCTATAGAAATTTCTTCCTGACAGTCTTGAATTTCAGTGGCAAAACCACCCAAGTATAAGGGAGCTTTTGATGCATTGCTCACCCAGTATTGTGGGCTGTATACCAGCAAGGACTGAGGATTTTCAATCTATGTAATTCGAGAGCCTAAAATGCAGTGACCTCAAGCTCTAGCCTGACAGGGAAGTTTGTTCTGGTAAGGCCCTCCAGCTCTCTGCATTTGCACATCTGCAGTATTTTAGAAGATTTTGCAGCTACGAGGTATCAGAAGAATTAATTTATCATCAAGCTTAAGTCTGTTTCCGGCATTCCAAGGATGTCAATGGGTCCTTGGATGGTTGTGTTTTTCCTGCACATATGAGCAGTTTCAGTATAAAATTTCCTGCTAAAAAGGACCTCCTCTTTTAACATCTGAAACTGGTTTAACAATTAGAAAACTAATTGTGAGAAGAGCAGGAAACTCAGTTCAGCAGTTTTCCTTCTATAGAGCGGGAGTGAAAAATTAGTAGCATGGATATTAAATGTCAGTTAAAACCAACATGACTTTAATTCTCTGTGGTGCAGCCTGTGTACTGTGGCATCCTGGCTCAGCAAGCTCTTTGAGGAAGGGTTTTGATTAAACTTTCACCCTTCGTTAACTGGAGGAAATACTTTGTTCTGCAAGCATAAAACCAGCAGTATCTTTGTTTCACAATCTCCCCCTTCCAGGCAACTTATTGTTTCTGAAACTGTATTAAAACCTGTTTTGGATATT